TCCTTCTGGGAGCGCAGCCACAACGCCCTGGACCGGTTCCGCTTTCGAGGCCGGCCCTACCGGGGCGGTGGGCGCTGGGGCCGGAGCCGAGGCTGCAGCGACCGGCCTGGCAATCCTCCGGGGAGGCCGCCCGGAGGGGGAGGCGGCACCGGGTTCAGTAGCAGCCAGGGCTGGAGGGAGCCCTCTCCTCGAAAATGTATCCTTGAGACGTGAGCGGGGGCGGGGGGCCCGTGCTGCTGCTGTGGGCCTGGGTGTGGCGGTTCCGCGCTACGTGGCCGAAAGCCCTGGGAAGGGACGCGTTTCTCTCCCGCTCTGGCAGTAGGATTCACGCAACGGTAACCGAGAAGGAGGCTCCCAAGCTAATCCTGGAGCTTGGCCGGGGCAGCCGGCCCTGCTTAAGGAGAGGCTGCTGGGAAGTCGGATTACTGCCGTGACCTGGCTTGCGGCTTGGCCGATCTGTCGTGTGTAGGGAAAAAGGAAAAGCATAGCCTGAAAGGAAGCTTTTGTCGGTCGGATTCTGAGCGGCTGCTTTTGTAGCCCCAAGTGCGAGTATTATGAAGTGGGGTCAGTCTTTGGTGCGGCATTTTTAATATGTATAATTAGCGTCACAGTTGTGAAGCTAAAACCCTAAGCTTTACTGTATTGGGCAATGAAGGAGCTACTCTTTTTTTCATTTTCGCTTTCATCCCTTCAGAGGCTGTTACACATAGGATTAGCTTTAGTCAGTTTTAGCTAAGCTGGAGTGGATCTGCACACAAAAAATGTAGTTTATATGGGCATTCAGATGAAAACCATACACACCATTTCTTGTAGGATGATCTCCATTGATTGCTCTTAAGATTTATTTAGGTGACTCATTACTAGAGTTCTGATATTTCATCCTTTTAGGAGCAGGAATTGTGCAGGTGGTGGGAAAAGCTTCTCTAATTTTTCTTGTTTGCCATAGGAAGTAACATAAAGAACAGATGCTGAGTGTAGCTTGGGGCATCCTGGTTGCTGGATGTAATTGCATTGTTGCCTAACTGAAAATGTAGATGATTAAAAAGACACTGAGCAAGAGAGATAGTGGTTAAATCCTATTCTCCAGAATTTGCAGTGTTTTGTTGTCCTTCATATCAACAGTCAAAGGATGTGTTTTTGCTAGACTGTGCAGGTTGATTTCTTGGATCTTGTTTCATATACAAGATTATTATTTACATAAATAATATTTTTATTTGTTTAAATGTGGACGGAATATGTAAATTAGCAATAGAGATGCTTTTATTTGGTCCCATGTGGTAAAGTTGAAGCATTATTGAAGACTTCATTGGAGCCCTTCATTCAAGGGTTTTATTTTAAGAACGCAGCAAGTGATGATGTGATTTGCCCAAGGTTTCACAGTAAGATAATTCTAATGCTGAAAATAGTTTTCAAGTCTCTTTGCAGTGTTGCTCTGAGTACTGAAAGTGGTTACTTTCTGTGTAAGGTGTAATTTGCAGGGCAAATGTAGAGATTGTCCTAAACAGACCTTGCAGTATTTCTTAGTGAGACTTATGCGGAGTCTCCTCCCTTTTAATTAGAAGAGTATTCAGAAATTAATAATTCCATTTTCAAACAAAAAATAGAAAATGACGATGTTGAAAATGTTTTTATTCCTGGCACTTAAGATTCACTCATCTGTTGAACTATGGTGGATGGAGAATGTTCTATTACACTTTCTCTCTAATAAGTGAATATTCAGTTGTTTATGGATCATGTAGTTAAGGAAGGTCCATGATTTTCCCTCTCTATGAATTACTGTAGGAGTTTTTTTCATGCTTGCCACCTAACACAGTCAATATTAGAGAATTCATAAATACTAAGGTACCTCCACGTTGCTAACATTAATGGAGTACTGGTGTAGTTCATTGGCATGTGACTTCAGAGGAGACTTTCATATCAACTGGTACAAGGAAGCTTGTGGCCTTGAATTTGAAATTCCCCTATGAAAATAAAATGTTTTAAGTGTCTGGAGTCCTGGTTTTGGCTTCTTAGTAGCTGGTACAGTGCTGTGTTTTGGATTCAGTATTAGAATAATGTTGTTAACACACTGGTGTTTTAGTTGTTTCTGAGAAGTGCCTACACTAAGTCATGGACTTGCAGCATCCCATGCTCTGCTGCTGAGGAGGTGCACAAGAAGCTGGCAGTGTGCAAAACTGAGACCCAAACTTGGCCCAAGTGGTGTTGCATAGCGCAGAATATCATGCCCAGTGTATAAACTGTGGGGAGTTGGCTGAGAGCCATTGATTGCTGCTCAGGGCTGGGCTGGGCATCTCAGTCCAGGTAAGTGAGGGCAGTGAGCAATTGTATTGTGTATCACCCTCCTTTCTTGGGCATTATTCCACTCTCTCTTTTTGTTATCTACCTTTTTGTTTTTATTACTATTTTATTTGATTTACATTATTTAACTGGTTTTTTTTTTTCAACCCACTTTGTCAACCCGCATTACTTTTTTCCAGGTTCTTTCTGCATCCCACCATGAAAGGGAGGGAGGAGTGAGAGTATGGGGTAATAAGTTGCTGACCAGGGGTAAACCGTGTCAGTCTGGTAAGACAAAGATTGTTTACTTGATTTAGGATCAAAAACCTTTGCACCAAGTTTTACAGGAATATATATGTAAGTGGAGTAAAGGACATGGTGGAACACTTAAAGAATTCTTGTTAGTTTTTTGGGTGTGTTAGCTTTTAATAGTCTTTTCTCTTTCAATTCTTGGCAATGTTAATACATTATATAGTAATTCTCCAGGAATTCTTGCATAGAGAATTATGGAATTTGAATCTAATGGGACTTTGTTTTCGTTGAATTCTGAACTTTTCTCAGTGTGCATTTTTCTTCCATTTCTGACTCCCAGTTTCTTCTTTTTGGTTCTTGGATGGAATTTCTCTTGAGTTGGTTGAAGCACAGTTGTTTTAATATTTACATAAATATTAATATTTAAATGCCTGCCTTTCACAGCACTTCATGGAGTCTGCATTCTGTGTGTAGATCCCCCTCAAAAAAATTTCTATGTATGTGAACCACAGAATTTCTGGTTAACTCCATTGTGGGAGCTTCTAGCAATTGTATTATCCTGAGAATGGAAAACATCTCAAAACTGTCTTGTTACCCATCTCCACATGACTTTAGAAGCTCCCTATTGAAGTATTCCCATAGCAAATAGCAGTTAGACTTACTTTTATAAATGATGGTAAGTCAATTAGCTTCAAAATTCCCTGTGACTTACGAAATTATGAACATAGCTGGCTCTTTGGAAGCAGAAATATGTTGGAAGGGAATTTTGCAAATATACTTATTGCATAATTTGGTCTTATACTGCATACAGCTTTTAGTTTTTTCAGGATATTTATAGACTGTTTGTTTTTTGGGGTTTTATATAGTTTATCTATGCTAGTTTCTGCTTTTTGTGCTGACACTTGAGAAAGCACTGTATAGCAAAACATTTCAGAACATTACAGAAGTAGCTTTTGCAGGATACATATCGAGGTTCTTCATACT